CCAACAAGTGAAGTAGCCCGGCTTTAAACAAAATATAAAAAATCTGAATTCATTTTACTCTAAACATTGAATAATGACGTTGCGCCAAAATCTGGATATTGTTTCGAACCCATTTAAAAACTTGATTTTCTATAGAACATTCAAAAAAGTATAGTATGCTGAAAGTGCCAATGCACATCATTTGACACGTTTAAGATTTTCTTAGCCGTAAACTTTACTTGTTAAATCATAATAAATAACAAAGATGGAACAGAGAAGGCTGGCCGCACATTTGTCGTTTGTGTTGCCGTTGCTGCGAGCACAGATCAGCAGCTGCAGACCGGTATCAGGCCTGGGTTTTGCTCTGTGCTAATTTCATCAGAGTATCTATGGGACAGCGGCACAGACAGAAGGCAGCTGGAGGCCCATTGTGTCATCCTACACTCTGTCTGGCTTTTTATAGAAACACGTGTATATTTAGAGCTCTATGTAGTTCAATGCCGTGGCGCTTCATTTACCTCGACGCTATTTATAGTGAAATGTGAATGGTCCAAGTTTCCAGTTATGCTGTGTAACTTTTTGTCTCTCTGTGTTCCTTCCATTTTCACAGCTTTTCTTTACTTGTAAATATGTTGTACTGACATTGGCCAAGGTTCCATTGAAAGACACATCTCATTGTAAGAGGGGAAACATTGAATTGAGACGAGAAAGTGTCCGGAGCGATCCGATAATGACAAAAATATGTCCAGTTTGGTTTGTTGGTGAAATGTGGCGCAACGGCGAATCCAAGTGCTGTTAATGAAGATGATCTTGAGGGATCGAAGTTGAAATATCACCTTGTTTCTTATTTCTAAAAACAATCCATAATAAGTGAAATCTGCTAACAAGCAGCTTCATGTACACATTATTATTCACCTGAACTTATGACTGCTGGAGTGTGATCCCCAGAGTGCTGCTACAGATGTCAATAAACCGTGTGCTCAATAATCCATCTTAAGCGCACTTGAATAACTGTATTGTAAAATATTATTAAGTACAGTGCATTTAGAAAGTATGCAACCTCTTCCACTATGTCCATTTTGTAACGTTAAAGCCTTATTTAAAATGGGATTCTCTCCCTTCAATGCACCATAGTGAGTGATTTGATTACAAATAATAGATACTGTGTGTGCATGTAGTATTTTAAAGTATACTCATTATTTCATAGTTAGTTGAGGCACCTACAACAACAACAACCACAGTCTTCTTGGATAGGACGCAAGACACACCCTCATCTACATTTGGGGTTTTCATCCCACTCGTCTCTAGACATACTCTACAGTTCTGTCAACATAGATGGAGGGTACAGCTACAGAACTTGTTCCAGGTTTTTCAGAGCTGTTCCATTAGGTCAAGTACGGTTGTGCAACAAAAGGATGTTCACAGTCTTGTCCTGAACCCACAGTCCATAGTTGCTCTAGAGCTGTTTTTTTGCCATTGCCATTAGAGTATATTGCGAGCATATTAACAGGAAAAAAAACTTGATAAACTTTGGAATAAGGCTGCAGACAAAAATTATAAAAGGTGAAAGGTTGAATACTTTCTGGCTGCTGTGTAGAATGATGTGGGTGTTTTTTTTCCAGGACAGCTTAAGGCTGACGACAACTGCGGACAGCTCTTTCTTGTGGTAAAGGAAAAGTCAAGGAGGTTTGATTGGACTAAGAACCTAATGACAGTGAAATATGTCCGGCCCACCTCCCTGCCTTTGATCCAACCTGATCTCGCTTTGTTGTGGTCGGACTTTGATTTCAGACGGTTCTGTGTGGGCTCTCTTAAGGCCGGACACACTCGTAAAACTTCAAGTGTAGATTGCTTTTAATGAGGCTTTGACCTTTCAAGGAAAACCCTCAACACTGGTGAAAGAGCTGCCGTATTAAGACCAAAATCTCTACTGAAAGTAAAGGCTTGGGTTGCAACAGCGAGCGGCAGGAGAAACTCATTATTCTGGCTTCTTATACTTGGAGGGTAGAGGAGTGAAAGTGTAGGAAAAGAAAGACTTTGCCATGATCAAAATTCCAGTCACAAAGACTTAGGGCTTAGCGTTCGTCTTGTACTGGGAGGAGAGTTTGCTATGCCACTCTGCCAGCTGCTAAGACATTGCATCATGAAGACAATGGAGCCTCGAAGGGACGTGCACAACAGTAGGAGGGACCCGAATGCGGGAATCTTGCTGCTGAAGCCTGGACCGCATGCTGTTTCGTCTGCTAGAAGATTGTATACATTACATATGTCGCTTTGCTCTCAGTCCCTCAGCTCAAGTCTTGCAATAATGAGGCTGGTACAGGTGGTCATTAGAGCTAATACCGTCAGAGAACATCACACAGTACAAACCAGAGTCGAGATGTGGTAAAACTCAAATGCAAATCACCCGCATTAATCCAGGCGACGCAGTGATAGAAATGCAAATGTGAAGTTGTGTTTTTAACATTTTGAATGGTATTAGCGGCTTTTGTCCTCGTCTTTGACTAAGATGAATTTATTCCAAAGCATGAACCGATGACCGTGGATGTCATGTTACAATTGTTCTCTTAACATGAGATAAAATTACTTCCACGCGCCGGAACAGCCTGCTCCTCTTTCCGTGAGGGGAAGAATGATGAAGGCGAGAGGGTCGTCAAAGCGTGTGCCGCAGCGGTGTCCTCAGATATATGGGGCCAAGTGGTGCACGCAGTGGATTTCTTCTACCACCTCTGTACTGTCTGTACTGTGGGTCTGTGTTTCTTGTTTTGGATTTGGTTTTCTAAGTGTACTTTGGATTGCATTGTGTGTGAACTATGATTTTTGCCTCACACATTACGCATTGTCATTTTACTTGTCATTTAATGTGAAAAAAATGGCCTTTGCTTTATCCATATTTTAAAGATACGACCTCCTTCACCTGCACCTATGGCCTTTATGATTTTAATGCTTTCTTATTTTGTTCAGCACTTTGAATTGCGTTGTGTATGAATTGTGCTTTATAAATAAACTTGCCTTGCCTTGCCTTCATACCCTTTTGAATCCATATACCTTTGTACTTGTTGTCCAGGTTGTCATAAGAGTGCATTATTTCAAAACACCAAATACATTTTAAGTTAATGACATCATCCTGAAATCTCCCATCACCCCCATGTCTTGTGCTCTAATTGTTAACATCGCAGCCAAAGCAAAACCACAACAAATAAACACATAGTAATTGGAAAAGCCAGTTATAATCTGTTAGATAAAGTGTTTACAAAATATAGAAGCCATTATAGAAAAATGGTCTTGTTTACTCATTAGTAAGTCATTTTATGTTATTTGAATCCCAAGCTTCTAATTTATCCACCCGAATGCCTCGACGCCTTGCTCAAAGCAGACGCCCCGCACTCTTCCTAATATGAACGTTATCACAATCTTTCTCTGGGAGCTTTTCTATCATTTCAATGTTCCACAAAACACAATTCGGAACAAACATTTCCGATGCTGGAGCAGGTTACATAATGTCAGGCCGTTGCACAAACAGGAAAAACCTCTACCCTCCACTTTAGAGCATGACATATTATGGGAAGTGAAATAAGCTGAGGTGGCAACAAAGGCATTTTCCCTTTGAGAACGGCGATGCATTTCTTGGCAGAAGAAATGGAGTAAGTACTTAGAGTCTGTGCATAACAAAAACTGATGGAAGTGATACTGATTGGATGTATTTGTCATTGACCAGATCAACTATTTTCAAGATGTGATTGAGTTGTGAGTTTCAATTATTCATTCCAATATAAATCACTTTCATATTACTAGTGCTACTACTACTTTAGCAATGTTGTTGGAAGAAGTGCCATAAAATCTGTCCATAAGATTCAGATGAAAGAAGTTTTAAGCCATTAATGACATTATTTATGATATTGCAATGCAATTTCTATCAAAATATGTGTAATCACTCAATTACATGTATTGCTTCTCTGCTAAACACTTGAATATTGGTTCCATATGAAGTCAATCACCTCTCAGCCCAAAGTGTCATATAATGACTGACAAGGTTATTTAATACAAGTTTGTAATTGCTCAAATGTTTTCTAACATTAAGAAGACAGCTTAGTATGGTTTCTGTAGCAACAACTAAATGTTAAATTCAATACAATATCTACTTTCAACTATTATTCAGGAAAAGGCCTTCTTATCGGGGTGCACGATATTGGAACATTTTAGATGTAAAAGCGTTGTCATATTCTGTGATAATATATTGCGATATATCATATATTCAGAGTAATCCGTATGTTGGAACTGCACTGTTTTAGGAAGTTGTTGTTGCTCTCACTTTTCTCTAGCAGTAAATGGCAAAGTCTAAACCCTAATGTAATGTAATATCATCATGTCATATCATCATTGCACTTTCAATTATACAATATATTTTCCATTTATTGTGCAGCCCTTCTTCTTATACATTACTAGTTTTGGATTGAAATCAGTACATAACCCACAGTATCCAGCTTCTAGACACACTCTGCCTTTGATGGAGGGTTGTTGGACTGGTCCTGGTTTTACCCCTGACTCCAGGACCACATCCTGCCGTAAATGTCACAGTGTGGAGGTCTGACATGCTTCTGCATCTGTCAAACCCACCGCTCAGTGCCAAGGCCTAAATGTGTCCCACGCGATCCCCCTCCCTCCAGTGCTTATTTCAGCTAAATCTCTCTCTCCTCATTACATAAGAGACCCTCTATACGTGTGCTCCGGTGTCACGGCGGCTAAACTTAAACAACATGTACGTAAGTCGGATAGTTCTTGCATTACTGAGTGGATACAGGTCGAAGTTCAAGTCCGGCCCTGAGATTTTTTTAAATTAGGAAACCATTTATCACAGACGGAACAATGCAGTGCAATCAAAAGCGCGTTTAGCCTACGGCCATAGACGGCAATAAATCTTTATATGTTTACTCCTGGAGTATATATGGAGATTGTTATGGTAGAGTTGGATTATAATATAAAACAAACCAACCCAGTTTGTCCCTATACACTACAGAATAATGACCAAAGGGAAGGTAATATATGCCTTTTATCTTGATTTAGATACTTTTGAAACATCTGAAAACAATATTTATTAACCAATGTGACAAGAAGTTTGGTGGATGACTTGACCACATGCCACAACCTCGCTGAGTTTCTTTGAAGAATTTTTGAGGTTGAGGATGAAGTTTCCTTGAAGATTAAGGTGCGATTGCAAACTTAGGGGCCTGGGAATGGGCACAACTCCAATATGTTGCTCCCTTGCTGGTGTGTTTGGGTCCTTGTCTTGTTGAAACATTTTGAATCTAAAGATGTCAGAGAGGACCTGTCAGAAGACCCTCAAACACAGACTTCAATTCACAGAACTCTCTGAGGACGGTGAAGCAAGCATCATGACATAGTAGTGCCATATAAACAGGGCTGGACTGGCCATCGGGCGTACCGGGCAATGCCAGAAGGGCCGATGCCCATATTTGGGCCGGTCTGTCTGCCTCATACAAAAAAGATGTTTTTTTCTGGTTCACACAGACTTAAATAGAGCAAAAATGACATGGAAATGTAGTATTTTTTATGAAAATATACCTTGTTTTTATAGTTACTGTGTATGTAGTGTTTTGTTGATTTTAAATTTCATGAATATCTGTCTGCGTCTCATCCTATCAGAAAGCAGAATTAGCGCCAACAGCCTACAACAAACATTTACTTAACGTTTACTCCATCAATGCATCCTCAAGCGGCACCACTTTAGCTTTATGTGATTAAAAAAATTGAAAATATAAAATGTTCCTACACCTGACACAGCCAAGCAATTAATCGATTTATCGTGAAAAATAACCGTTAGTTGCAGCACTACACAATATGTTGTGGTAAGGGTAATCTAATATTTTAGCAATACACTAATTGCGCCCTTAGAAAACTGAGGTCATGAAGCACTGGCACAGCCAAAAGTGTGCCAAAGATGATAGAAATGAGAGCTGGTGCCCCGAAAAGTGGCTTACAACATAATAATTTACCGTTTGGTGGAGGCTTAACTGACCAGGTAGGTGCTCATGTCCCTGTGCGTGCTCTGCGCTCGCTTTTATGAGCAATCGCGGTCAGCGAGGCGTGTGGTCATTGTGTGCTTTTGATGTGATTTATGCTCATCAGAGATGTGAACTTGGCAAATTTACTAAAACTGAACCAAAGTCTACACCGTTGTGGGCTCACAACTATTCAACTATCCTTTTACACCATGTTTGTGTTTGCATGTCGGTTTAAAATAATGGATACACACACTAGATGCTGGTCAAATTAGTTAAAGTCCTTTGTCTTAATATGGGCCAGTACTATGGTAAGTACCTGGTACTTGCTGGTAAGTACCTGGTACTTGCTGGTAAGTACCTGGTACTTGCTGGTAAGTACCTGGTACTTGCTGGTAAGTACCTGGTAATTGCTGGTAAGTACCTGGTAATTGCTGGTAAGTACCTGGTACTTGCTGGTAAGTACCTGGTACTTGCTGGTAAGTACCTGGTACTTGCTGGTAAGTACCTGGTATACTATATAATTACTGGTATCACTAGTACTTATGGGTAAGTCCTTTGTCTTATTATGGGCCAGTTCCTATGGTAAGTACCTGGTACTTACTATATAATTACTGGTGTTATCACTGGTACTTATGTTAAAGTCCTTTGTCTTATTACGGGCCAGTTCCTATGGTAAGTACCTGGTACTTACTATATAATTACTGGTGTTATCACTGGTACTTATGTTAAAGTCCTTTGTCTTATTACGGGCCAGTCCCTATGGTAAGTACCTGGTACTTGCTGGTAAGTACCTGGTACTTGCTGGTAAGTACCTGGTACTTGCTGGTAAGTACCTGGTACTTGCTGGTAAGTACCTGGTACTTGCTGGTAAGTACCTGGTACTTGCTGGTAAGTACCTGGTATACTATATAATTACTGGTATCACTAGTACTTATGGGTAAGTCCTTTGTCTTATTATGGGCCAGTTCCTATGGTAAGTACCTGGTACTTACTATATAATTACTGGTGTTATCACTGGTACTTATGTTAAAGTCCTTTGTCTTATTACGGGCCAGTTCCTATGGTAAGTACCTGGTACTTACTATATAATTACTGGTGTTATCACTGGTACTTATGTTAAAGTCCTTTGTCTTATTACGGGCCAGTCCCTATGGTAAGTACCTGGTACTTACTATATAATTACTGGTGTTATCACTGGTACTTATGTTAAAGTCCTTTGTCTTATTACGGGCCAGTCCCTATGGTAAGTACCTGGTCCTTGCTGGTAAGTACCTGGTACTTGCTGGTAAGTACCTGGTACTTGCTGGTAAGTACCTGGTACTTGCTGGTAAGTACCTGGTACTTGCTGGTAAGTACCTGGTACTTGCCTGGTAAGTACCTGGTACTTGCCTGGTAAGTACCTGGTACTTGCCTGGTAAGTACCTGGTACTTGCCTGGTAAGTACCTGGTACTTGCCTGGTAAGTACCTGGTACTTGCCTGGTAAGTACCTGGTACTTGCCTGGTAAGTACCTGGTACTTGCCTGGTAAGTACCTGGTAATGTGTAATTCTTGGTACTTGGGTTGGGTACCTAGTTCTTGCAGTGTTATCCTTGTCCTTGAAACTTGTTTTGAAATATGTATTAAATGTATTTATACTGTCCTTTCTGTGCTACTTATTCCATATTAATAAAGACGTTTGTTTTACATAATGTTGTTTTATGTTTTATAGTCAAACAATCCTACAAATGACCTCTGTATGTATGTATGTAGAAGTACCACATTTACTACATAGGAATAATACTGTAGTGTCCTTGAATTACTAAGTTACAGCTGTATCTAGAATTATCACAATAAGTACCTAGAAGTACCACTGTAAGTACCACAATAAGTACCTCTAAGTACCACAATAAGTACCACTGTAAGTACCTAGAAGTACCACTGTAAGTACCACAATAAGTACCTAGAAGTACCACCGTAAGTACCACCGTAAGTACCACCGTAAGTACCACCGTAAGTACCACCGTAAGTACCACCGTAAGTACCACCGTAAGTACCACCGTAAGTACCACCGTAAGTACCACCGTAAGTACCACCGTAAGTACCACCGTAAGTACCACCGTAAGTACCACCGTAAGTACCGTAAGTACCACTGTAAGTACCACCGTAAGTACCACTGTAAGTACCACCGTAAGTACCACTGTAAGTACCACCGTAAGTACCACCGTAAGTACCACCGTAAGTACCACCGTAAGTACCACCGTAAGTACCACCGTAAGTACCACCGTAAGTACCACTGTAAGTACCACCGTAAGTACCACTGTAAGTACCTAGAAGTACCACTGTAAGTACCATGGACTTACCGGCCCGTAATGTAAAGTGTTACCGAAATAACTAATATCTGCATAAAAAATTGACTCGTCCAAAGATTTTTACCCTGTTACAGTTGTCTCCCGTTGTTCACACACAGAGAGGGCTTGTCTGAGATTGAGTGAGATTGTCTTAAATATAATCCCCTGATCACTGCATCTGTTGTCTGAGCAGAACCTGCCAGCTCTTTGATGCGACCACATTACTACAATTCAGTGATTTATATAGCGCATATGTGCAGCTACAACAATAGTCCATTAACGTAGGGCAGGAATGTTGAAAATCCAGCCTCAGGCCCACATATTGAAACACTGATCTGTTGAGTCAATACAGAGAATAATTCAATTACATGCATTTAGGGCAGGTCAGACTCAGCTCTGTGAACTCCAAATACACTGATATGGTCTTTTCTGATTCCAGTTTACAAATGTCACTTATAAACATCTTTGCAACAGTTACCAATTAAAGCTGGGGTTTCTAACTTTCAAACCATATACATGTAAGTAGGTCCTCACTCTCTAAAAAGTTTGATTTTATTGAGTTTTTCTAATGCTTGTATCGTTTCATATAGGATCAGCTTTTTCCATCAGTAAAGGGAACATTTCAACCCAGAGCGTCTCACAAGAATCTTTCAAACAAGTATGCAACAAATGTAACGTTTTCTAATAAGAGAATCAACCTGTTGTGTAAGATTTCTTCACCAAACTTCTTTATTTCGAAACAAAAAAGGTAGGCATCTCAGCTTTAATATCCTGCTGCAAACATACTATGAATCTCCTGTTTATGCTGACTGCCCATAAACTCATTCTCACCACTTACTTAGACATAAGAATGAACTTAGTCTGCTGTGTTGTCTGATATACTGTACATATTTATTTGTTGGATTAACCATTGCAAGAACATTGTAATTAAAAAAGCCTGATGAGCATCAAAGAGCCAGTTCCGAGTGAGAACATTTGAGCTGTCTTCAAATCCAGATAAAACAGTTCTGAAGGATTGTATCTTTACGCTCTGTTATGTACTGTGAGCATTTATGATTATGACGCCATGTGTAACTTTAATGTTTTTCTTCTGGTCTTATTCAGCACTTTGAGTTGCTTTGTGTATGGACAAATATACAAAAAAACTTGCCTGGCCCTGCACAGTCTGAACTGAGACACTGGTGTTGGGTTTGAAGCTTGAGCTGTTCTGTTGTCCTTACAGCTTGTGTGTGATGGTGATGATGGTGTTGAATAAAAACTAGAAAAAACGATAGAGAAGCCCATCATGTATGTATAATAGGATTTTTGTTTTCTGCCTGTCTTGCACCTAAATTAGATTTCCAGTGATAGTTGCCTCAGGTTGCAATTTTCAACCACCACCCAGACCTCTGCACCCAGCCCCCACGGAGGTCTGAAGGGGCCGACAGGAACCTCTTAAGATAAACCAAAGAAATGTAACATTGTTTTCAGGTGTCATCTAAACGCTGTGCAGGAGCCTGGTCGTTTTTCTTAATTGCTTTGCATCTCCGACTAAATGGGGCTTTAGAATGCCCCCGTCATCTGAGGTCAAAACTAAAGAACCTCGGCTTGGCAAAGGGCCCTTCCGTTTGCTTATGCTCCAATTTCTACCCTTTTTCTTGAGCCGTATTACAGAAAAAACAGTTCAAAGTTATTAACACCACTGACCCTAACCCTAACCCTGACCATAAATTACTAACTGCGCGAACAAGACGGCAACAAAACTTTCTGACTTCCTTGGTTTCTTAAGAAATCTCACTTTTAGACAAAAACACAGCCACATTCCATTAAGACAAACACTGTTATCAATTAGTCTATGAGATAAATTATCCATTTATATTTGAAAACAAACACAAATATATCTCTATATTGTTGTCACATTGAATTATTATCCATTAGCGCACTATCAGCGCCAGGATAATGACAAACAATGTAATCATTTATGAGTTTATCAGAACCAGTCTCTTTCACAGCACAGCAGAGTGGGTTAACCTCATTCATAATAAGCCTGTCAGAAACTTGTGCACTGCTACACGCCATTATTTACCATGATTCATAATTAACTTGACAATTTGAAATAGCTTCCTCATTCAAGCGCATCAAATATTTCTCCCAAAACCTTAAAAATGTGTACTTTTCAACGGGAAATAAAGCGCAGCTGTAGAGGCGGCTGTGAACGCTGAGATAAACCTGACATCTGCTGCTGTTTATTTAGTGTCATTTATGTCGACAAATTTACTGCTCCAAATTCAAGTGCGATGGAGCTAATAGGCCTCGCAGAAGACGATTCCAGATTTGGACTTTTAAGATATTTGTATGTGTCTCCAAAGTGGAATGACATCAGGCAATTGTTAAAAACAGTGTCAGGGGAATTGTTTGGGTTAAAACACAGATTTACCAGAACTGATGCAGCAACAAGCTCACATTAGTCACTCAGAGAAATGTGCGTTTTTAAAATTGTTGTAATATTCGTTGTTCCCATGGTAATATGAAACAGACATTTCTTCAAAACAGGTGAAAAGGAGAAAAGGAGAAAATCAAAGGCATATTAAAAAGTATTCCAGATACATCTGATAGTTTCCGCTCTGCGTTATTATAGGTGTGATGCAGAGGAATACACAGGCGTTTTGTTTATCTGGTCACAATAATAAAACATAGCATGTGCCTTGCTAACACAGCCCCAGCCCAAAAAAAAAAAGAGAGCAGCAAGTCAACTTCTGATTAATATGAATTCATAGGAGGTAACAAATGTAAATAAGGACGAAATTACAATAAAAAGAGACATTTTGAGACGTAAAAAACATATAGGGACTGACCTCTTCCCGGTAACAGGATTGCAAAGGGAAGAAGCAACAACTTTCAGCAATGTCATTTTCCAAACATTCCTCTCTTTCCGGTTTCAATTTCTTGATATTTGGAGCTGAACCAGAACAGATTACTTCACTGTCACATTCACCGCCATTGCCAAACTACAACCAGCAAATTCGGCGCAAACTCTTGATGTCACTGACACCTACAACAACCACCTCTGCCGCTCGCTGGTCCGAGGGGATACAACTGCAAGGTAACTGCAGCCGCTGGGATCAGACGCAGACATACATATAGGGAAATAATGATTTACCGGAGTTTACAGATGGCTAAAACCAGGCTATCACTCAGCCAATCATTTCTCATTCAAATAACCTGGTGAGTCAAATTGTGACTCACTGAGCTCTTTCTGGCAAAGAGGCAGCGGGAAAACCCTGAACTTATAGTGGGAGACAGGAGGCACAAAAGAAGAAACAAAAACACATGGCTGGAAGACCAAAGCTGCACAACAAATCAAAGACCAGGCATTAAAAAAACTATCATGAAATAATAAAACTTGTTGTAAAAATACAGTAATAACAGTGTAATTCACATTACACTTGATAATGACAATAATACACTGTACAGTTTTGAGAGAGATCACTGAAATCATTTACTGTGCTACACATTTATACAACATATATAAACACTTCTCTATCTAAAAAAGCTGATCTGAAGATGTGCCAGAAACACATGTAGGTAGAGGGAAAGATCCATGCTGTTATTGAGCCAAGAACTATGGATTTGTTACATAATTTACGTACCCCAGCTTTAAGTAAAGCACGCCTAATCGTTCTATTTTAAAGCCAAGACTTTATTTGGGGTCAATAGATCAATGGTTCTTCTGTAAACTATTGACAAATCGATCTGTGATGCCGTGGACGACCAGAAAATGGAACCAAGATTGATTTTGTTTCTTTTTTTTAACTTTCAGTCTCCAACAAACATATGCTGGACACTTTGGTGTGATCCCTGCACTCACTTCTTTGGAAACTAGTTCAAAAATTATTTTGAACAGATTTTTTTTTCTTTTGAGTAATTTTAATACATACTTTCTTTCTCCTTTTGATTACCTTTAAGTTACTATGGAAACAGTACGTTATATCAGACCTGGCTGGTGTAGATTTTATAGTACTCTTTAGACTAAATATCATATTAATGTGAAACTTGGTGTAAAATGGATGCATATATAATACTGTGTTTTTCCCAAAGTAAAGAATTGTACAAATGTATGTAATGTAAAGGGCGAACAGTAGCTCAGTTGGTAGAGCATTGGCCTTTGGGCCTGAAGGTCGTGGGTTCGAGCCCACCGTAAGACCTACTTCACGACTCCCACTGATGACTGCTGTCGTTGTGTCCTTGGGCAAGACACTTAACCCCACTTTGCCCAAAGCCCCAACTGAAAGATCAAGGCTCCTGTGGACTCACCACCTGCAGGAGGATCAGTGAGGGGCTGGTGCTATGTGTACTGGGTGCAGCTCTGACTGCCACCCCCCCCCCGACCCAGAAATGGATTAAGAGGAAAAAAATGGATGGATGGATGGATGGATAATGTAAAGAAATAAACAGGCCACTCCATGCTGTTTTCGTCTGTTACTTTTGTTTGTGCTGGAAACGGCAGCGAGTTCTAAGTAGCTCTGAAAGTTGTTGTTTTGTAGTAATCTTTATATAAATAAAGTACTCACTTACTTACCTTAGTTTACCAGTGTTTTTTTGACTTTATTTTTTTCTTCCTGAAATGGAGGAAGGCTAACCTTTATGAAAATGCTCATGAAGCATCCTGCATTTTACTTTGGACTAAAGCAGAGTAGAAGTTCCGAACCAAGCGGCAACTCCACCTCTGCTGCTGTGACCTGAAGAATTATGATCTATATATCTATCTATTAGAAAACCTTTTACCTTTTACAAACTTCAAAGAAAGAGGCAAGGCAAGGCAAGGCAAGTTTATGTGTATAGCACAATTCATACACAAGGCAATTCAAAGTGCTGAACAGAACAAGAAAGCATTAAAATCATAAATAATCACAGTACATTAAAAAAAAGATAAAAATATAAAATCCCTCAGTTGTATGCACAGCTAAACAGAACCGTCTTTAACCTGGTTTTAAACATTGTCAGAGAGGAGGCCTGTC